CTCATGGCAGCTTTGCAGTGGCTTTCTTGCATCTTTTCCCAATGTTGTTCATTTGTTACACATTCTTAGATGGTCTGCCTGCATTACTGGTGGGATAATCCCTTCCTTATCTTCCCTTGGACCTCTTGCTGTTAACAACCCAGTCCTCCCTTTCAAAGTCTTACATATTTCTGCCGACTTCCCTCCTAAGCTGTAAGTCCACTTAATCTCTTTCCAGATTTTATACCTCAGAAGCTTGAATTCTTTCAAGTATTGCAATGGCTGCTTTCTAAATCTCACCATAAAGAACTTGATCTCACACAATACAGGTATAGGAAAGGAAAAAATGCTAAGCAGCAAATGAATACCAAGGGAATCTAATATTTCATTAATGAAAGCTGCTCAGCAGCTTCCAATTTGCTTCTGTCTCCTGGCAGGAATAAGGGTCAAAACAAGGACATTTTTGAATCATTTACCTCACTTGAACGTTGACTGCCCTCAAGCTCCAGTATTTCTCAGTATTTTTTGTCTGTTAATTTTTTAAAAATTATTTTTTATTTACTGCACAGCTATAAAGTAAGGAAGTAAGGGAGAAATCATGTGAAGTTTTCAGCCATCTCTTTGCTTATGGCCCAAATACAAAGATCATTATGTTGGCCGTGTTGTCTCAAACAAAAGGGCCACTCAATCGATCAGTCACCCTGCCTCCAATAATAGCCATTAGCAGATGCTGAGGGAAAATACATAAGGAAAGAACCATGCAGCATGTACAGCTGTCCTACTGCCTATCTGCATTTTAGGGAACTTCAAGAAAATTGCTGAGGATTTATTTGTACTATTGTGAACAGTAGTTCTTGATAAATCTTTTTCCACACACACAGAGAAATAATGTTTTAACACCCAACATTTAATCATTTTAGCAGACTAATATTTTTCGCATCTGAAGCATCTTGTGAAATGAGTTCCATAGTTGAAATATGCGTTGTCTTCAGAAACACTTCCTCCCACCTCACCTAACTGCTCTCCCTGGTAACTTTACTTGTATTCTTTTGGTTTGTGTTGTTAAAAATGTAATGTAAACCTCTCCTCTGTTCATCTCCACTCAACTCTGTTTCCCTCTGCTGTATGTTAGCTAAGCTGAAAAGTCCTCATCTGTTTAATTGCTCTTTGCAGAGCCCATTATACATCTTTCTGCCTGGCTTGTCTAGTTCAACATGACAAATACAGAGACACAATGGGCATGCTCTGTAACACATTCAGTGCTCCCTTCCAAATCATTGCCAAGCCTCTGTTTGTATCCATGCCTCTGTCTCACGATAGCTGATGCTGCCCCTGAACGGCCCACGGAGGCTTCAGCACTTCATCCCTGAACAGTGCTGGCATCCTGGTGTGGGTGTGGTGGCTGGTTTTTTCCCTGTGTTTTATTTTGCATGTGTTGAAAAGGAGTTTTATGGGTATTGTTTTCAAAGTACTCAATACTTTGGGATCCCTTTGCAATTCTTTATGATCCTTCTCCATTTTTATTACCTCAAATAATTTCGTACCATCAGTAAGCTTTGCACGTGCATTCAACTCCCTTTCCTGAGAGATCTGGAAACACACTGAGCAGATCTAGTAATCTCCTTTCACTGTGAAAAGTTATCTATCTATACAAATATTTTCTCTTCTATCCCATGACACTTCATCAAAGCTCTTTGAAACTGAAAAGCACAGTGGCTCATTCGTTTGGATCCCCATGTTCCTTAATTCGGGGACACATGGCTTTCCTTAACAGAAAATAGACAACGCTTCCTCAAGACACTGTATATATCCTATATACATACAACAATACTGAATTTGAAATGCTATAACCAATATAACAGAGCATCTTTGCAACAGTCACACCTTGACCTACCTCTACTCAGTACTGAAGCAAGATTTATTTTTGTCTCATTAAATATCAGGCAAAGTGCTAAAAGAAAACCTCATCTATGGTATCTAACATGCAGTTCCAGCACTGTGCTCCACTATTCAATTTATTCAGCCTTAATGAGAGCAGCTGAAATCTGCCATTATTATTCTGTTTTCTGCCTTCACAACCCCTGTGACTTTGTTTAGACGTGAATGTCACCATCTTGGTCAAGGGGTTTTTTGTATACCTGAATCCTCTGCTCTTCCTATTCCAGCATTGAAAGTCAGGGCATTGAGTTTCTATTATATTTAATGAAACAGTTAAACTTTATGATTCAATGCAATGTTTTCTTCTGCATTTGCGGTGGGTGTTTTCTTCTTTAGCTCATACCATAATAAAAGACCATTCAACTGCACAATTTTTCCTAACTGCTGTTGACATACAACATACTGCAGGTCAGCAAAGGTGAGTTATTACTTGCAGCCACTGCATGAACAAATCCCCAGGTTGCTGGCTTTAGCACAGAGACTCGTGTTGAGCCCTCAGCCTCATCTCTTACCCACATCTGCCCTAGAAAGCACCATCTCTGCCCCCATCCATTCCACTAATGCCAGTCAAGGGTGGCTGAAGCAGACACTGAAAACTATCAAGTATGTCCAATATGGTTACCGCCCCAGCATCTTTTTGAAATAATGTTAGATTGCACAGCAGATAAAGAAGTGATGATGGGGTTATTTGGACCCTTTTTTCAAGGATGGGCTGATTTTCCCTGCTTAGGCTGGTGAAAGTGCACATAGTTGACTTTGGGAACACGCAGGTTAAATTTCTGCAGCACTGTGTGTACACAACACACAAGGAAGCAGCAGTCATGACAGAGTCTGAATCTAGTTACTGGCTCCCCAAGAGAAAGCCACATCCCCGTCATACCTACAGCAGCTGCTGCTTTTTGGCGAAAGTACAAATAGTAAAAACAACCCCAGAGAGGTGCTAAAAGCAAAGAATCGATCGTTGTCGCTGCCTCAGCTTGGGGAAAGGGATAAACAGATTGTAATAAGTGTCAGATTTCTACAACTGCTTTTTCTCCGTGGGGAACAAACCTATCCGCTCCTCACCCCTTAACCAGAGGTCAGAGCCATGCCAAAGGAAGTAGATACCATTAGCAGACATGAAGAACAGATCTGGTATGTCGGTGAGATCTGTCTGAACTCAGTAACTGGTTGGAATAAGAGCAGCTAAGCACTATTGCGGCTAATGCAGATGCTCAAGTATTTTGGCTTCTTAACAGGAAAACAATACGTTTCAAACTTCCAGACAAATTGTAGTTAGCCTGAAAGGACCTGTGTGTTCTTGGAAAAATGCACTGTATTGGAACAGCCGCAGTGCCATGCTTTTCAGCTGTGGTGTGAGCTGTCCCTTGGTGTACATAACATTGCTGAGGCTCATTGAGCTCAGGGCTTACCCAGCCTGGGGGCTGCCAGGTCAGTGCCCAGACCTTGATCCTCCTCACTGGATGCCTCTCTGAGCAGCCACTGCAAGCTGCTTGAACACAAGAAGATTCTAGAAGCAAATACAGACCAAAGTACCCCTAGAAGAAGTTTATTCCTGAAGGTTGGTTTATGCCCAGCAGAATGTGGGTGTGAATTCCTTCAAACTGTATTTGAACCCTGTCTAACATGACCATGAGTATCTTCTTAGGCACTCTTGGTGTATAACCATTTTCTTGCCAGCAGTGACTGCATTAAATTTTGCTGTGATCCAAGTCAGGGAAAAAAAAAAAAAGAAAAAGCCTCTCTACAGCTGCTGTTAGTTGTGGTGGCTGTGTGCTGTTAGTTGTGGTGGCTGTGTTATGACTGTGTGCCACTTGACTGTGTGTGACAGTGCTGGGCCATTACACAGTGTGGGTTTGATTCTCCAGAATAAAATCTGCCAGGTCACTCCCACTATGGGAGTGGCGCTCTTTATATTTTTCCTTAAAAAAGAAAAAAATAAAAGTCTTGGCCAGCTCCAGAAAGCATTATTGAATTCAAATCTGTGGTACAAAGAAATCTACAGTTTGCTTGAAGCTGCTCTGGTGACTCAAGGCTTGGGGTATTTTTTTTTTCCTCTTTCAGTTGGTCCTTTCTAGTCTCCTTCCACAGCACTTTTTTCTTTTATGCCTTTACTCGTACTGACACGCAGGAATCCTTCAAGCATCGTTCCAAAGTGACACACATGTGGATGCACAGGAGTCTGTTTTTAAAATGTAACTTTAAGACTGCCAAATGTAAGTGTTCAGAGGAAACTTTCATCTGCCATTTTGCAGAAACAACATTGCACAGGAGCAATTTATAATGGCCTTGTCCAAGGGTCTGAAGACATCGTCCACCCACATGTGCCTCTGCTGGTACATGTGCTGCTTGCTCACACACAACCACTCCACACAGCAACCTCTTGCTAATCCATCTTGCTTATGAACAAAAAGGGTGGGATGTGGGGGTGGTCTGGGGCAGGGTTGTTTTTTAGTAACCAGGAATGGTGCAGAAATGTGATGTCTGTCATTTTTTTTTTCTTAGTGGTAACACAGCCTGCTTTTTATGACTGAAACTGTTTTTGTGGGCCAGCAATACCAGCATTTAGATCACCTGTGTTGTGGTGTGATATGAAAGAGCCAAAAAGCAGGCCCTCTCTCTTCATTTATACCTCAGCAGTCTCATTTATATGGAGCGGACAGCTGAAATAGCAAACCTGCTTTGGTGTGGCAGGCGGATTTATAAGGTGGCATAAACACCTAGTGCTGCTCCAAGGCTGAAGGTTGCTTTGGTTTTCCGCCCCACTTCCATTAGCGTTACGTCACTTGAGAGTTACGTAGTCAGAGCTCCCTTCCATACACAGATGCGCTGTCAGAGCTCACTTCCCTCGTTACCTGCATGGTGGGACTGCCTGTTGTGGCACTGGTGGCTCACTTGCAGGGTGTCGGGCAGGGATGATGCCCCAAACTGATGCTGACTGGCCCCACACAGACCTAGTATCCCTGAAAATTACCTTATTCTTTCAGGTCACCTCACCTGAACTCATGGACTACCTGATTTTACAGTGAGGAAAGCCATCTTTTCAAAGACAACAAGTTTTTATTTGTCTTCTTCCATTTCAGTGTCCTGGTTGGTCCTGAGTGAAATTTTCCCAGGTGGGATTAGAGGACGGGCCATGGCTTTGACATCTAGCATGAACTGGGGTATCAATCTCCTCATCTCCTTGACATTTTTGACTGTGACAGGTAAGATTTTTCTGTGTCCTTCCAAGTTGATATTCTGCTCATGGGCAAAATTAATCTCTCCTCTACAAACAGAATTGCTAAACTTGCAGCCATGATGCCCCAGGAGCCAAATTCAGTTCCCTGTTCAGGTGCTGTTTGCTAGTGTTACTTCACCATTCTTACCACATCTAAGTTCATACTAGTAATTACAGCCTCACAGTTCTGGCTATCAGAGCACCTTGCACATCAATTACACAGGCTGTGAACCCCACCTTTTAAAAACACCATGTCCTTAGTAGGTTGAAAATACATAATATTTAGGATTTAGTCCTGTGCCTTCTGAAGTCGATGGAAGTTCTGCAGCTTTTCTGATAAAATGTTTTTAAACACAGTCCCATTGAAATAATTCCTTTCCACAGGAATGTCCTGGCTTTGAGAAAATTTCCTTTAGAAAAAGGTGTTTTTGTAAGGTAAAAATGTTTCATGTGTTAACATGAGAAAGTAGACTACCATACAGTAACTTATAATGTGATGATAAACAAGGAAAAGGTTAAATGCTGATGTTGAAATTCACTGGTTAGCAAATATTTTGTTCTAATTTTATTTCAGAAGAAATTTTGCAAATTTTAGTTTTCAGTTTATTCTGAGGAAAATATGTGCTGAAAATCAAAATATATAAGGGAACAGAAATTCCAGGTTTCCTTTAACTCTGCATTACTCTCCATCAGAAGCAGGCAGGCAGGCAAGCAACCCACAAAAAGTTGAGGTGGTTTTCATCCTGTTAGATGTATTTTGAGATGGCTATGTAAATGAGTGTGATCTGTGACTAAAATGGTGTTTTAGTTTCTTAGGGAAAAAAAAGAAAAAAGAGAAAAAAAATCACCTTGAGTACTACCTTGAATAAAACTAGGAAAAATATGCCAGGTCAAACTCATTGTATCCACACTAGCACATAAGGGTCCTCTTCAGAAGCAAATCATGTAGTTGTCCCCACTCACTGCACTTTTGATTTGTGTCAGAGAACTGCACTCCTGAACCACACAAGCTTTTGGACAAAAACAAACCAGAAAATGCACAGTGAATGCACTCTGGCTGCCAACACTCTCTCAGTGTTAGTGTTAACAGAGACACTCTCTCAGTGTCTCTGTTAATAGCAGACTAGAGCTATTCCTAAAGGAATGTCCCCAAAACCAGATAGTGCAGACCTCATGCCCTCAGCATCAGCTGTTCTACCTGAAGGTCCCCTCCTCTCATGCAGTATTGCTTCTTAATGCACAGCTGGCCATTATTCTGGTCTCAGATTCAATGCATGTAGAGCCACAGTAACTTTATTGGCTTAGCTGGGTCTAATCTGGATTTATGAAAGTGTAACTACAAGTAAATATGCATTCCTAGTCTATGGCAGAAAGGCAGAATTGGAAATCCAGTGAATGCAAATGAATGCCTGTGGAGGTCATGGTGGCCAGCAGCACCTGCACTTAGGTATCTGATGCAGAAGATACAGGATGGATTAACAGATTCAGCTGCCATTTTTAGCTCACAAAACAACCGACAAATGTCTCAACTGTCTGGCTTCATTTTAGCAAGGAGAAGGGCTATGGGGGCTGCAGCAGCCTGTTGGGCTTGTATAAGTTTTGCTTTCCAGGGGCTGCAGGGTGCATCCCTCAGCCTGAGGACCTACTTGCCCCGGGACTGTAAACTCAGAAAACGACCAGCCCTTGGCTGGCCCCATTACGAGTTCACTCCTCAATTGCTTTCTGGCGCAGGACCCATGACTTGCAGAGGAAATGCTGGGAACTGATGGTATGGAGGATTAGCTGGAGACAACTGCAACCACGTGAAAAAAAGCTTGGTTTCACTCCACAAAAGGATGTACAACAAAACCAGACATGGGTGGAAATTCGAGGCCCTTGTGACCCCCCTGTGCCTTTGCACAAACCAGAAACAATGGCTACTCACTGCTCACTGTTTCATCCAGAGTGACTGCAAGCAAAATAAATCAATAGGTTAATGTTAAATGGGTCAATATGGGCTCATCAATTTTCTTTCATAAGGAGTATTAGAAAAAACAGAAACACTCATCTTTTGCAGATGATAGCCAGGCACAAATAAGTGAGCTAAAAATAACAGCCTAGCTTCTTTCTACCTTCTCCTGTGCATTAGGGACTGTATCCTACAAACATATGGCAACAGAAAAAAAATTTAATATTTGAGAATTTAAAAAAGGTGTTTTCTTCCTTTGTAGAGCTCATTGGCTTGTCCTGGGTGTGCTTCATTTATACAATAATGAGCCTAGCATCCCTGGCTTTTGTTATTGTGTTTATACCAGAGACGAAAGGATGCTCTTTGGAGCAAATATCCACGGAACTAGCTAAACAGTAAGTACTGAGGGTATGACCACATTCCCTGGGTGCCAGAGGGACAAAGCCTTCCCATGCCACATGCTAAACAAAAGGAAACTACGTTGTTTGTTCTTTTTCTGGAAAAATAATATTCTCTCAAGGCTTAAGCTTATACACATAGATCTCAGTGGCCAAGCAAACATTTAATTGGTGCTGAAGGAGTGCCCTAAATGGATGGTGGGCTTCCAGCACTCCTGTTAGGAAGGGCCTGCAGCCAGCACTTTCCCTGACTGGTGTTCCTGGAGAGGAGGACAACTGTGTCCTCACATTTAGGGTTGTGTGTTTTGGCTTGCATGCAGCAAAAGGGAAGGAGAAAGGCACTATGTCAAATACTTCAAGGCTCCATGGGAGTTTTGATAGCTCTTCTAGATGGGCCTGTTTTTGTGCATTTACTGAGTTCCATGGATTCTATGAGCTCATACTCCAAAAAAGGCTCTTCCAACATGAGCTTTGTGTCCCCACCTCACCAGACAGACAGGGTAGAAGAGCAATGGGAGGGAGAGGGAGCCTTGGTGATGTGAATGCCATATTAATTTAACAGGACCCATTCTGACTGGTTTTGTGTCTTTTGACTCTACCAGTCTTTTCTCACCCTTCAGAATTAGAGTGGTCCTTGGAACGACATACATTCAACAAAAGTAGCACATCAGATTTAAGAAGAGAATTAAATGGTCTGATGAAACTCAAAATGCTATGTACTCACAATCTCCAAATGCAGGTGTCATTGCCCATAAATTAACCAACAGATTCTATCATCAATTTGCTACTGTCCCATTCTTCTCAGTTGTTTTTGTCCATCAAAAAATATAGACAAAACTAAGCATCCCTGGCTTTTAAAATACAGTGTTCTCCTGATTTGTTCACGGAGCTGCTCTACAGCAGCTACATGGATTTTTTTTTTTTTTAACTTGTCTCAGACTTTATGAGGGAAAAGATAAAGAAATGATAGGGGAAAAAAATTCAGTGGACATAATTTTTGCAGGGCTGATGGCTTGGGGTGAGAGCCAAGCCTTACCACAGCTGGTGGCATAGGTAGAAATATTCAAACTGAATATAAGACACATACTTTTTGACAGCAGAAGTAATTAACGTGTGAACAGCCTAGTGCGATGGGTCATCCTGTACTCAGAGTTTTTTTAGATTCTCACCAGAGAATATTTTTTCTAAAGGGTATGCTGCAACTCAGCCAGGCTTGAAGAAGTTCGTTTATGGGCTAGAAAAGAGCAAATATTCCAGTGCAGAAAGCCCGGAGCTGATCGTGCCGGGGCGTTGCAGCGAGTTGCCGAGGGGCGAGCAGCCCGCGGGCTGCCCTGCCGGACCCCCGCGGCTGTGGTGGCAGGGAGGGCACGCTGCCAGCTGCATTCCGTGGCAAAACTTCGTGGCTTTTGGTTTGGTTTTTTTCTTCTCCAGGAACTACGGGAAGACCCCCTTGTGCTGGGTGAGCCAGCACAGAGAGGAACTGGTGCCAGTGGAGCTTGCCAAGAGAGAGAAAGAGCAGCTCTACTAGACCTGGGACAACCAAGGCAGTCTCTGCCAAAAGACTGACTGAAAAAAAGCAAAATGTTCACCCATGCTGCCACTCTCTGCTGGGACACATGGTATCTTTATCATACACAAAATAGTCTCTAATTTCTTAGTAGCATTTCTTTCAGTGGCAGTTTACAGCCACCATTAAAGATTGTTGTAGTTTATAACTCACTGGAAATCGAGACTCTGTTTCAAACTACAACCTCTTACACACAGGAGGTGAATGGAAACTGGAATATTCAGCACAATTTGAGTTATCTGTATTCAAGAAGTGTTCAGCTTGGAAGAGGTGCTAAGAAGGACTGAGGTGCCCGGGAGAAGGAATAGCTTGTCTTTTGGGAGGCGCCCACCAAAGACAGGTCTCTTTGGCCTAGTAAAATGGAGCTGAAAAGGGTTAACAGCTCCCTGTCAGTACATTGGGGAATACAATACTATGAAGCAAAAATGGACAGCTATGGAGTGTAAGGGGTGACGTTAGTTCAGAATCACAGAATTGTATAATTATTAAGGTTGGAAAAGACCTCTAAGATCATCAAGTCCAACCATCAAACAACTGGGTATGAACTGTTTACAAATTAATTTAGGCTTCAGCTTAACAAGACTTGAAAAAGGATCTTGTTCATCAGAACTTAATTCATTATAACACAGAGCATGCTCAGCTTATAAGAGGAACTTTACATAGAGTTTCCTGGAAGGGACGGATTCAGTGACCCAGGAAATACTTCTCAGAAAACAGTCAAACTATTTAAGAGGGATATTTGCATAATCACTTTAGATGGAGGGTGGCCTTACCGAAGAAGAGAGAGGATTTCTTTTTCCCAGTCCCAGGAAAGTTGGAAGCTGGAGGCACCAGACTTAATGTCAAAATCATTTTATTTCTCAACACAGGGCACACTAGACTTTGACTTTTGGATTCAGAAAGTGAGAACTGTGTGGTACAGGGCAGCACAAAGGGACTTCAGAAACTGTAATCACTGCAAATCGTAAGTTATGTTAAATTCCCGGTTATTGCTTAGCAAGTGTATCCTGAAGTACTCAACAAGCCTCTACAAAGGATTATTTATATGGCTCTCATAAAAGAACTTAGGTCTTTTTTTCTTAGAAGTCTAATAGATTGTTTGAATGATCAGTAGTTAAATATTTATTAGCAAATAAATAAATGGTCCTTTGTTTAAAGAAAAAAGCATGCTTTAAAAGCACACTGGCTGTCTCAGCAGGCACACAGTGACATTTCTTCCAGGATTTAATTGAGGAAGCAAGACTGACACTGTCAGCTGGAGTGCAGATACTACTTTGAACTAAGCACATGATCCCACTTTATTTGCTGTCTCATAGCGTTAAAACCACCTGACTGTGTCTTGCACTGGAGGAACAGTAACTTGCTGATCGAGGTAAAGTTTTACTTCCGAGCAGAGCAGATCAGTTCTAATCAGATTCTCACATGGTCACAGTTCTAGACACTAATATGGTAAATGTATCAGAGCACATCTGTTTAGACAGTGAGTGTCTTATCAAAACCCGAAAAGAAACTGTTGAAGCCAAGGGCATGAATTGTCAGAAGTTGCTGGAAATTTAGCTAGCTTGGGATGAGATCCTACCAGCCAAATCTGTACCACAGCTTCCCTGTATCATAGATTTTAGAAACTTCAGGCTCATCAATTTTTTGGCAAACACAACATACCAAAGATTAAGTAAAATCTTCTGCTAAGGGTACATGTGAGCCCTTTCAACATGGTCTATCAGGGCTCATCAGAAGCAGTCAGCTTGAAAAGCCTTTTGCTCTCATCCCCTATGGGGAATCTGCAAGCTCCCATTCCAAGCTAAAATTCCACCCTGGATGTCAGGAGCTTTCACATTTTCCACAAACATGGAAACCTTTGGTTTCTATTTGAATTTTCCAATGAAAATTGAAGACCTGCTTAGAATTTTGTTTGAGGTCTACAGTTCCAATATCGACCACAAGAGGTGAGGAGAAGAGCTCCTTTTGCTCCTCCATGGGAGAGAGCCCATGGCAGAGTCTTCTTGTGTTTTCCTGACCTCAGCAGTAACAGTAATACTGCAGCAGCACAAATCAGCAAAGAATATTCCTGTAACTTCTACGGTCAGTCAGAAAAAGGATGCAAAACGAATTAGAGCACAGCCACGTAAAAGTTTCACAGCAGCGTGAAACAGGCAGAGCTGGAAAGCTGGGTCTGGAGCCATGGGTGAAGGCAGCACACAAAAAGCAAGGGAAGGTGAAGTCAGAGATTGACTCTGGCAGTGGGGAAAAAGGGGCAGCTGAGGTTTTTAAGTGTAAATATTTCATACATAGAAGATTGAATTTTTAACCTTAAATTTTCCTATGTAGCTTGGAAGTGTGAGGAATTCAAGAACAAGAACATGGCCAAAACCTACAAGGTGGTAGGGTTTTTTGGTTTGGCTTTTAAAGTTTTGTTTGTGGGGTTGGTTTGTCGTTTTTTTTGTGTGTGTGTGTGTGTGTATGGGGCGGGGGGGGGGGGGTTCTGTTGTTGTTGTTTTGGTTTGGTTTTTTTTGGATCAGCTCACAGCCTGAATTTATTTTTTTAACCATAGCATGCCCAAGCAATGAGTAGCTTTGAAAAATATTAATGCCTTCTTGCTAGACAAAACACCACATTCTATTACTGAAATGGAAAGAACAATAAAATACAGGATACATGGTTGGTGCCATGTGTTGCCTAATGAGTATTTGTCAAGCCTGGAAGCCTGGCAAGCATTTGTTGAAGAAAATCAAAAGAACCTGAACTTCTCAAGCACCAGCAAAGGGCTGCAGGCCGGACCTGCTAATACTGTAAAGCTCTTTTCTTAGATCAATAGCAATATTTTTTTATAAAACCTACAAATTCCACTGTCAGTTCTGAACACTTGTAAAACGATCTTGTAAAAAAAATCCAGAGTCTGAATCCACCATTTTCTGGGTTTCTGCATGTTAGTACCTTTCTAGCATTGATTTGTACTGAAACCTCTCCACCTGCTTCATGTTTAGACTAGGGGACAGTTATCACTATTATGGGTTTTACTAAATCTGCTTCAGAACAAGAAATATTAATGTGACTCTGCGTAGTCTTCCAAATACACTCACACAATACACAGTTTATCATCATCATTCTTACACTAACAAGTGCCTGAGATTGAATCAAGTAATACAATGTATTTTTATTAAGACTACGCTGTGGGAAATGCATCCATTTCCTGATCTGTGACTTTACCAGGTAGTGGATTACCCAGATTTCCAATAGCATCCCCGCTTGCTCTACGTGGTACCATTTTCTGATACTTGTCTCTAGATAGAAGACCTTTGCACATGCAATCCACACTTGTACTGGCTTATAATTTATTACATCACATTTAGTGAAAAGGACTTCTGCAAAACCTTTCTCAGCATTGCAGCTTCCCAAACAAATCTCTGTTGTAATACACAAAAAAATTTGCCCCAGATCTAAAATAATTCAATATCTCCATTAATGGCCTAGATTACAGTACAGAATATGCTTATTAAACTTGCAGGCAATACTAAACTAGGAGAGACTAGGTTGGAATTCAGAGCTTTGCAAATCTGTGAGAAGGGTCTGAAAAAGCAGGATACAATTCTGAAAGCGCAAGTGCTAATTTCTCTGGCAATACTAATTGCAAGTCAGAGAATGATAAAACGGAGCTAAAAACTGCAAGAAAAGAGCTAGTGGCTACGACAACTCACAAGCTAGCAATGAGTCAGAGTTATCATTCTACTGCAAAAAGGAGCCCTTGGTAGGTTGTAAAAATAGAACTAACCCTTCTCTCTAAGGAATGTAAAATAAACTTCTTTATGGCACTGCTAGTGCTGCAGCTGAGCACTGTGCCAAGTATTGCATGAGATCCACCTGGAGAACACAGGGACAAATGAACAGTGCTCTAGAAAACATGGCCATGGGGGAAGTGCTGATTGATTGACAGGTAAATTAAATTTAAAGCACCACTCCTCACACTGGAGGTGAGAGGTAGCCTGCTGGGGCATGGTCTAGGCTGGGGTCCACATCACAACTGCAAGAGGTGACAGCCAGAGCCATGGTGGAGGCAGCACAACATGGCAAGGGACACAAAAACACACAGATAGGGAAGGGGGGGCATGTGCGTGTGCACATAGCAATAAGCAGCAGCAGCAAGGCTTATTTCAGACTGAGGTGGGGACTGACTGATTTAGAGCAGTGACGGGAAATAGAGCAATATCCCCGAGTATAAACTTACACTGCCAAGCACCCTTCATCATTGGAGGTTTTAAAGCATATTTGTCACAAACAGTTTGAACCTCCCTTGGAGCTGAAAGGATAGGTGAGCACACTTCAAGGAATCTTCCGTTTGCTATATTCTCTTTCCCAATACTACCCCATGGGTCTAGTAGCATGCTTTTCAGCTCCCTTATGGATTGCTATGAAGGTCTCAAGCCACTAGCATGGATCTAACTAGCACTTCAAAAGAAACAGCTCCCATTTTAATCCATTGCCACTTATTATTACCTTTCATTTTTGTCCTGACAGGCAGATTTCGCACTACAAAACAGTGCTAACAAAAAAGGAAAATGTTCCTCTTTCTCCATAGATAAATTTAGGAGACATGCATGCTTGATCAGAACTCCAGAATTTCACTGGTAGCACTGAAGTGCTTTGTAATTGGACCTGAAAGAAAAAGAGACAAGCCTAATCTAAGACAGCTATTGTAGTTCTAACAGCCAAATCCTCATTCACTACACTTTGTTCCTGGAAAACCCATTACAATTTTGTTCATTGTTCACATACCTTCTGCTTTTTCTTTTAAAAACTGTAGTAGTAGTAGTAGTAGTAGTAATAATAATAATAATAATGATAATAATAATAATAATACACTAGTGTTCCCTAACGGTCGTTTGTCCATTGCTCTTTGACTTTTCACAAAACTCTCATTAGTGTCAGGAGTGCTGAGGTCCACATTACACTCTATACAAACTGGAAAGCTCGCATATAGCAAGCATCCCTTTCCCTGCTCTTTATCACAAGTTCTGTGATTGCTGAACTCCACTTAACAATTCCACAGTTAAAAGTCCTCCCCTTCCTACCTACACGGAGCTTAACAGGGCTTTTATGAATGTATCACTTACAGCTCATGGCAAATTGTTGCTTCTTTCCTTTTGTTCTGAAGGGTTTGGTTGAGCATTTCCCATACTATTCCTTCCATTCCATGATTTCTGAATGGAGTCACTACAAATACCCCTAACAGCTATACCAACCCCTCAGACAGATGAAATACATTACAGCAGGCATTTGCTTCTTCAGGATGTTCTTCCACCTTTCTTTCATGGCTGTACTTCTGGTACAGCAACAGCTCACGGTTTACTAGTTTAGCACCCACTAAGACTGTATATTACCTGCAGCACACAATAGTCGCGTTACATTCCTCTTCAGTGAGATAGGGAAAAAAGACATACATACATTTATACATATTTATTGTATCTTTTTAAAAGTAGCATTTGCAGTTACTTTTAAGCATTCACCTCTCTTCTGCTTCAAATGTGCACTTATTGAGAGAAACATCTACTGGCTTCCAAGTCCAAGATTAATACCAATAATAATACATGCCAGAACCAAGCTTCGTTGCTTGTTGGCAGCTCCTGTCATGAAAACATTATACAGTAAGAAGAGCGTAGAAAAGGTCTGTGTTAATCATTCAGCAGTAGGCTGGGGCTGGATTATCATGACCATACTATCTTCTCCTGCTGAAGCACAGCAACACTTTTCTGTAAACTGAAGCTCCCATAGTAACTTTTTCCTTTTGCATCCAGCAGGTGGACAAGGCAGTTGGTTTTTCTACAGTAGCTTCTTCAGTTCGTAAGATTTCCTCATCATCTATAGGAAAAAACTTGCTGTAGACCTTTATATTTAGAAATGTCTTCATGTAACAGCAAGAAAATACTTGAAATCTGGCACGTAGTTAAGAGAACTGGGAACAAACCAAATTTCATCCCCAGATAAACATACGTAACTACTATAGATTGCAATCTAACCCACGCACAAAGTTTTACACGTACTACAAATAGAAACAGAAGGTATCAGCAAAAGACTATTCTTACATGGTTTCAAATTAATTTGCAACTATACAATTTTAACTGTAATAGAAAAAAAGGAAAGGAATATAACAGAACAGGTATGAAGAGAAATATTTTCCAAACTTTTATTTGTGCACATTCGTCAGGTGAAAAAGATAACTTTTACAGCTTCTTTGGTGCCCAATATTCAGCATACAAAAATGTAAAAGACTATTCACAAATAAAACACAAGCTCAAACTAAAAAAAAAAAATATGTTTTAAAGGTAGTGCACATCGTGACAGCTTTGCTTATGAATACACAGAAATTACTGCAAAAATAAATAGACTGTCTTTTTAAAAGCAGCAATTTCGTATCTTGTAAACTTCCATTTTTACACTACAGCACTGTTAAGAGTAAAATCCAAAAGAACTGGAGTTTATACTGTGGCCATGAGCAAGTAAAAGAGTCTGTATTCCTCTGCTATGGTTGGTCCAGTTTTCCTTTTTTGCTTTTAGTCCAATGTGCAGCAGTCTTTAAAGGTGCTTGGTTAGGGAACCTAACCATCAAGTGGTGAATTATAAAATTTATTTCCTGCTTTCAAATACGAATGGGTAAATCTGTTCCACAGCGCTGGCAACAGCCTTTACATTTGGCCCTGAGACATATTAAAAGAAAAAAAAAAAGCAGGAAGAAAAAAATCAGGGAATCAGAAATTAAAACAATAACAGTATCTTTAAAATAACCTTAATATTTTTACCCTCCACAACTTTATATTGTAGATAAAAGTAATTTCTCCCAATTTAAGGTACTCCTCTGACCACTACAAGGAAAGACTCTACCATGGAAACAGATGTTCTACACTGGTCAATGGTTAGACTACAAATAAGTAATACTGTCATTTAACTTCATAACAACTTCAGTGCTTAGCAATGAGTTGGAGTTATCATTGTACTGACTGATCTCAGGACAGAACTTTCAAGCCAGGAAACGGTTACTGTCTCAGGACGAAGCTTCTGAAGGTTCTCTCTCACCATCTACGAGCATTTGAGGAAAGAAAAGGAAGACTGAACTATCAATGCTTTCTAATGGTACTAGACAACTTTATGCAATGACAATTAAGACTGCAAAGAAGCAAGCAGAAACGTGCCAGAAGAAATTTATCGTGGATAGAGTTTGGTGATGCAGATAAATGAAAACAGCAGTTTCTCATGTGCTTAGATGCCTGCGAACTCAGGGGGTTTCTTTACATCACTTTAGACTTCAAAAGTTTCTCCCAAGTATAGAGAACTGTTCAAAATCATTCCCAAAATTATAAATAACTTATTTAAGTAAGTTATAAAATACTTAATTAATTCTGGAAATACTGTTTTAATTTACACAGACAGTCAGAAAGAAAATGGAATGGAATGGGATCCTTTCTATATTTTCAAACTTGCCAAGTTGAGTTAAGCAAATACCTAAAACAAGCCTGGTAAAAGACTCCTGCCTTCTGCGCAGATACTGCACCTTCCTTAAAATTTGGCTGCTGTTGTAGAAACACAAGTTCTAGAGAAAGCCTTCAGAAAGCAAGTGTATGAGTAGGCAAAGAATTCTTGTAAAAAAAAACAAAACAAATGCTACACCCTGCAGGGTTGAAGAGATGTAAAACAGTGGATCATCACTGCAGGGAGTTAGAGAGAAGGAAATAAAACCCAAGCCAACCAACCAATACCCCCAAAACCAATCCCCTCACCGGTCATTTTGGAGGAAGAAAAATTTATAATTCTTCCTATTAAATATCAGTTCTTAAAATTTTCCTTTCTCAATGTAAATATTTTTACACTTGTTTCATTAAACAAGTGGGTTTTTAGTAACATTTCTAATTACATCTCTCAAATAAAATTCTTTGGGCTAGTAGCATGACAAATACCAGTACTACAGAAACATAAAGGGTCAAAAGGAACCTCATCTGAACACACTTGAGAGGGAGTACATTAAGGATGAACAGTAATTTAAGACACTTTTAGAACAAGAAGCGTAAGCCTGTGGACATTTTTTTTCCCTAAAAGAAAGGCCTAGGCAAAACAGAAGCCTTCCAAACCAACAGAGGTCTGACATATTTCAAACTCACTGTAACAAGTAAACCAGAAGGAAGTAAAACTGATGTTTACTATATTTGCCTTCATATTTGAAAGGACAATTCTAGAAATATTTGGGATGTCATGAATGCTTATACATATCTAAAAGGCAGATGTCAGGAGGATGGGACCAGACTTCCTGGCTGTGCCCAGTGACAGGACAAGGGGCAGTGGTGACAAGGCAGAACACAGGAGGTTCAATTTAAATATAATGAAAAACTTCTTTACTGTGAGGGTGACAGAGCACTGGAACAGGCTGCCCAGAGAGGTTGTGGAGTCTCCTTCTCTGGAGACATTCAAAACCTGCCTGGACGCCTTCCTGTGTGACCATCTCTGGATGATCATGCTCTGGCAGGGGGCTTGGACTAGATGTTCTTCAGAGGTCCCTTCCAACCCCTACCATTCTGTGACTGTGAAATATGAAAGTGATTTTCTCCCATATATGGAGTAATAAGAATCTCATAGAAAGGTTAAATCTCATTAGAAGGCTGACAAGACACAATGAGAGCCTTTCATTACTGCAGTGATACTCAAGCTTCTTAGCAATTTTAAATTTAGTTTCCAGTTTTGGTAGACCAGTTGCTCTGTTTAGAACACATGCTGTAATCTTGAAATACTTTTTAGCTCTTTATTTTCAGATTCTCAAATCTGATGGATCTTGTCTTCTTTAAACTACACTTCTGATAACTTATGAGAAACATTCCCCATATAGCCTACATATTTTTTAAGGAATTAAGATTTGAAAATAAAAATTCCTACTCAACTTTTGACACCTGAGCTCTAACAACTGCAAGACAGAATTACTGCTAAAGTGATATAAAGTGATGTTTTTTGGTTCTGTACCATTTTAAGATATTCTCTAAATCTGACTTTTCCTATCTGTAAACCCATGGTGGACACCTCACAAGAAAATGTAACAAAGAATAGAAAATGAAAATTAGAAAGAGATAGAAAAAGCATGGCATGGCACCTCCAAGATCTAGGACAATCACATTTCTGATCACATGGGAAAAATGACTGATGTCTGTGATTCAGGTGATGGCTCTCGCAGCTGAGCTTTAACAGAAGAGAGCACAAGTTTGAAGAACTGCAAGTACCGGTCAACTCCAGTTATGACAAAATACTATGCTATCCTATACGTTTCCACAAATCTCCAGTTTGGAAGCATGTATTCATGAAAGGGGTGTTACTGCTACATGTAGTATAGTTTACAGCACTATGAAGATGAAAAAAACAAAGGAAGAAAATACAAATATTTTAAGAAACAATACCTACATTCTCAAGTTCTGTATCACTTTTGTTTTTATAAAAACCAGAATATGTACTCTCTATCAAAGTAATACTTGAACCTACCAATAATAACACCTTCTCTACAACTCTTCTGACACTTTCACTCAAAAACACATTAGGTGCTAGCACTGGGAAACAAAATCCCTTCAACATATCTTTTGACTGTTTTAAAAGTCTTCCTTCCCTAAACCTACTGGTTGTAAAGTTAAATATTCTCAACCTGTTAAATATTTATTTTTGACATTGAAATACCTGTAACCGTGATACTGCCTGTGGAAAAAATCTGTAAGGTAGCTCTGAGAGTTTTTATTCTGTAACACACAGCAGGATGAAGTTCTGGTTCATAACTAGAAAACAAAAATAAAAGGTAAAAAAAGATAGATCTAGAACTCAAAAAGAAAAGCTTAAGAAATATACTAAGACTGTAATTCTTGAAAATGCTACCATACCTCGCATGAGGTCTGTTATTCTTCGTAAATTCTGGCAATCTGATCTCGAAGGGCATGTTGCACACTGCTAAAACATTCACAACTTTAAAATCCGTGAAAATTACCTTTTCAAAACAGGGGAAAAAAAGACATTAGAAATTCAGTTTGCAGTAAGGCAGATCTAGGGGTTTCAAAGGAAGTCAGAAAAATATTAATTAAAATATTTTTATGAGACTTCAAAACTAAAACCTTCCAATTGATTCATTTCTAATAGGCATCTAAACAGTACCTTATGGACTCAAACAGCTTACTTTATCCTTCTATGATATAGTAACTGCTGAACTAGACACTTCACAGTTGTATTATATGGTTATAGTACAGTTTAAGAACGAGACACAGAAACAACTCATATTGTACTGAACACCTCAAAACTGAAAATAAACTAGATTAAATAGCTCATGGAACATCAAAATAAGCAAAGAAAGAGCTTAAATTAAATTGTTACAAGAGTCTTACACAATTTGTAAACTGCTTTAAGGCCTTGCTGCTATACACCATTTTCATTAATAAGAATAAGAAACAATGTGAAAATTGTTCTGTTTCAGATCTCCAGTGACCAGCACAGCAAGCCATTTTTCTACTCTGTTCCTTTCTGAAATCCAGTTCAAACTACTGGCTTTCAGTTATTCTTTACCACAGCCATTTTAGATGACAATAAAATAGCCAACAGACAGTTCCTGAACAAAAAGTCAACACAAAGTCAAGTGTTGGCAATATCACTGAAGAAACTTTTGTTCATTTTCTGAGATTGCCTAAACTTAAAATGACCATTCCTCAGTCAAAACTTTTTAGAAGTATATTACCAGTAGTAGCAATTTATCCTTACAAAAGGTCAACTATCATCTTAATCTTCAAAATACATTCCACTTAAGCTGCTCACTTTATTATAAAACTTGGTGTGTCCACCCTGGCAACACTGTTTACCTCACTGATTTAACATCCCATTCCAACTTTAAGAGGCTGGGTCTAATGTATGCATTTGTAACAGTAGAAGTGTCTAACTTCTGCCTGGGTCCGAGGTGGCATTACCAGGATAGTCTGTCACCACTGCCTTTATGTACTACAATCAAAGGGAGCCTCTCCCTGCCAAAGGACAGCCACTGCGTCTATTTGTCTGTCTGTAAACTGAAACTGGGGGTAAACAGCACAACTGACTACCAGGAAGTTTTAGAGTACTAAACATGTCATTTTAAGTCATTCATGCTGTAGTTTTTCAACCTTTACTATGAAATGCAAGTGGTGTTTTTGACTGGTAATGATAACCCAAACCTAGAGAAAAAAGAGGTGTTTCACGTCCTAAGTATTTTATTTGGCTTATTTCCCAGTGTGCAACCTGACAGCACAGCAGCTTTCTCCCCCCTTCCCAACTTAAAGAGGCTCAAACTTGCCCTTACCAAGATGCACACATATCTGCTATTCCATCAGAAACAACAGAAAATTATGTTCAAACAACAGTTAGGTTTATACTCTTCAACACTTCTTCCAAATAAATCATTCAAGATACTGTAAAGTCTATCCAAGAAACATCTGTGGGTGGTTCATTTATTAAACAAATTTTGTTGTTCATTAGCCAGAGAAGCATTACTCTGAGCTGCCAAACGAAACTCAAATCCACAAAATAAAATAGCTTCTCTTTTACCAGCATAAGGGGCACAAAATGGGCAAGAGTGAAAACATGCTTACTGCTAAATTGTTTTGCTTCCTCATTTTTGTTTCTTTCTAAAAAAATGGACTACCAGCATTACTTGAGTTATACAAGTCCTTTTCCATCAGAATTACCTGAAAACCTAGCTTCTGTAGACTACGAGCTAATCGTCTGGCACCAAATTTAGCTTCTTCTTCACTGCAAAGAAAGAAAAGAATCTAGCATTAACAGAAATAGAGTCCATATTTGTGTGGACACATACCCCAACAGCTACTCAGACTACAAAATGAATCTTTAAATCCTGTAACACATGAACCATGATCACATGGACAGTCCTAATTTTATCCTACTGTACTTATTAAATTTTAACTGTCTAGATATTCAAATGGAGTTCTTTAAGCTCTGTTTGAAGACTACCGTGGCACTCGGCTCCAGCTGAAGTTGGAGATGTATTTTGATCATACATGACACTAAATACTCTTAAGAGACAAGTATGATCATGGTAGCCTGGAGTTAACATCCTGAACAATCATTTTCCATTTTGAGACAGAGACTGTATACAGAAAGTATGCAAATTCACTATTGTACCTTATCCTTACTCCACAATGCACACATATTTTAAAGGAATTCAGCTCTTAAGAGTTTAGTAAGTCTCAGAGGTATCTGAACCAAAAGTTTGCTTTTGCTTCTTTCCAGTCCCTCAACACTGTACAACTTGATTAAATTCAGGTGGGTTTTCATGAACTAGATATCCCTCAAAAAAGGTCATCCCTTCCCAAGTTTCAAGTTCTGGCTAAAATCACAGAATTCTTAAAGAGTTATCAAATGAAATCTCTGCAGTTTTCTTCATAAAGTAGTTTTCCCTGCTGCTCTCCCCAGAAGGCTGAACTGATGTTGGTTAAGTCTTCAACTCAGTCTGAGGCAGACACTTCACACAGAAAACCTCCTCCCAGATACACAGCTTGGCAAGGATCTACATGTGATCCAGTGTGAGTGAATCTGAGCAGTAGCCAAGTGCTGCTTCTTGCCATCTTCTTCATTTACAACATTATATTTTAAAATACTTCAGAATTTATACCTAGAGAAAGAATCTTCCTGAACTCACCTTGTGGCTCCTGTGCAAATAACTTTTCCTGAGGACCAAATTGTAGCTGTAATCCTAGGTTTTCTAAGCTTCATTAATACTTTCTAAAAAGAAAAAGAAAGCAGAAGAATTGGAAATTAGTGGTAGTTCAATTTCATACTGAAAAAAATCAACCGTTAGACAAATCAACTGTTGCACTACTTCCTTTATTTTTGATAGCCTTGAACTGTTCTTTCATCTCTTTCATCTCCTGAGAAGGGTAAAATAAGCATGGAATATCTCAGCCAGTGACTCAGTGTTCACAAAACAGATTAAATGTAGGTATTTTCCTCAAAATAGAAAGATGAAACCCAGAAGCATTGTGCTATTTTTTTTTTTCTTATTCAGTGACCCCCACATTGCTGACTCCTTGTTAGGGTATATTTTTGTGACAAAACCATCAGTGTTATTACCCTGAAGTGTAAGAGGTATCATCACATACCTTATACGAAATATTCACCTCACTAGTTGCGGTCTTCTGGGACCATATTTACCCCCTCCCCGCTTACTATATGACAGACTAAATGTCTATTAGGACAGAAATAAAACTATTTTTTCTCTATCCATCATGCACAGATACTGGACATGAGAGTGTTTAGCTTAAGGAACATTTGTAAAAACAGATAACTGAGGTATGTTGAATCCCTTACCCCGACATCACGCTTGTATATCACATTTGCTCCCTCCAATGCGATCTTCCTCAAGTTTAAATGACATCTTGTTCTAAAAACACACACTACATTTGTGATTAAAATGTCCAATGCAACATCACTGTCCGCATCCATTGGGGTGATCTACAACTCAGTTCTCCCACCAGCTCACCATGAAGATCACATCCTGAGAAAGGAAAATGATAAAATTAAACATACCAGTAGAAAATTGCCTACTAGTGCCGTTGTATACATCTGTCCCTTAAATGAGACAAGAAGCTGAAGTAACTACACTCTGACTCATTTATGTTAACTCTGTGCATGTGGGGGGAGAGTCTGCATCCTGTGTGCTAGAAAATAGGTTACTTGTTTGAAGCCATGTTGCCAGACTTAACAGAAATAAAGTGTATGCACACACAAATATATATCTATATCTATCTATATATCTATACATACAACATAAACTTGCCAGTTAAATATGTTACGACTCTTACCAACTACATTAGGAGACAGTAAAGATTACTGAAACTTTTTGCATTGCTCCAGTGGATAATCTGTCCTCAGTTCATTTGAGGATGTCATTAGACACCTCAGGAAAATGCACTTCTCTCTGACTGAAGTCGATAATTCTGAACAGCTTGACATTTGTGTTGGAATGGATAAGCGTGCTGAATAACTTTGTATTAACATCGGTTACACAAACTGCAGCCTGTAGACAGCCTGCTACCACGGCTTTCCCATCTTCATCCAGCACTCTTGGCCTATCTCTCCCAATATAACAGCACAATGTGAACGATACAAAATGTTGTGGTGGCAGCAACAGCCTGGGCTGAGACACAACGGCCTCCTGCCCTCTTCTGCACTGCCCACAGGAACCGTTTAGAATGAACATATTGTACGTGCAGCGTGATACCGAGTGTTTCTGAGGAAAAGCACAAGTAACTGGAAGAGCCCAGGATGGCCGCCCAGTGCACGCACAGCAACCCTAAGGTAGTCAGGAAGCATTCAGTCCAACCATGCACGTTGAAGGTGACGCTCCTAACACACACCTCAACCAGAGGAGGAGGACCATGAGATGGGGAGTTGGGTTACTGCTCAGCCCAGCCCGAGACTGCCCGACACTTCTTCTCTAAGCATACCAAAGCCAAGACATGGGACATCTCAAATAAATCTCAGGTGATGTATTTGGGGAAATAAGAGGGGGAAAGAGCATGAACATTGGTATATAGTGAACACTTATATCGATATACTGTAGTTCATTAAGGAATTTTTTGTTGTAGAAAAATGTAAAAATCTCAGTTATACTCCAGGAGAAGTAACTTAAGTGGAGCATGGCCTAAGAGATAGAGGGAATACTACCTTGATCCATTCAGATAAAATACAAAATGAACACAACAGAAAGCAAAGAGCAACATAAAAGAAAATTAGTCAGATACAGAAAATGCTTTACATGGTCATTACCATGGAAGAAATAGGATATTATGCATCAAGAACATCAATATACACAACAGACTGTAATGCATTTATATAACTTTAAATGCTTTGGCCTTACGTTCTATGTCAGAAATCTTAAAGAAACAAAATTAATGCTATTATCAGTATTTTCATCTGACTACAGCTTCCTAAACATGATGTCATAGTCTCTAATTGAGAACTTGCTCAAGGTGTACCTTTGACTACAGGTCACTGACAATAGAAAAGTTAATAAGCTACAAGGCAGATGTGCATAATGTTCTGGGTCAAGTGCTGAGATGGTTGCTGCTTCCACTGTGCAGCTTGTTCCCAGCTGAAATAATTATTCTGTAATTGTTGCCTTGTTCAATACAAGAAAAGGCAAGATAGGTGATAACGCAGAAAAGAGATGAGGAAACAGCAAAAGAAAAACAGAAAAATGAAAGGCTATGTGTGGGGGTGGGGGGAAAAGCAGACAGAGAAGAGAACAAACAGTAACTAATTAGTATTCCCGGATCTTTTTTTTTTTTTTAAACCAAAAATTATATGAATCCTGAAAGTTAGAAATTACTTATCCCATCTGGTTTTGATGGACTACTACAGATTGAGTTAGCAATTTATGGCAGCGGATCCAAAGATAGCACATGTGCAGATTTCGAATGGCACACAGGCAGGACCAGCACAGAGCAAGGAGCTGGAACCTGTGGCATCTTCAGAGGCATTTGTTTTGCACTCTGGCTCCAATGCCCAGCTCTTGCCAAGCTAATATACTGGAACCCAGTGATGACTGCTGTGTAAGAAAATAAGATACCTCCAATCAGCAATGGCTCCCAATTATCAGCAAGTTTCTACTGGCATCCTCAGTCCCTGCATTCTGAAAGAATAACACCGTCATGCAGAACACCCTTGAAAGGCTGCTAACTTCTAAGCAAACCATAATACTGTACAAATACGTTCTATAAAACTCTGATGGCTTGTCTTCAACAGATCTGGAGAAAAAAGATACATGCTCATTCAGGACAAAGGAAAAAGTGTTTGAAAGAGAGGAAAATTACAATTTAAAAGGAAAAGATCTATCATTAAAAAGGGATCTACAGATAAAAAGAACATTCATATGCTGAACATTCATATGCTGTCAGTAAGGACATCTTCAGTAATTATGGTGTATCTTGGTTAGAAGCACAATCTACTTGCATAGATTTTAATGGAAGAAAAATTACACAGTATTACAGCAATGTGCCCCCATTTTCATTAGCCATGTTCTGAAAGTTCAAGACAGCAGATATTTAGAGAGGAGCTTCTTAATTTGAAATTTAATTTGAGGTGCAGCTAATATTCTAGACCATATTTTGTGACATTCAGTTAAAAAGGGACATAACTTGTTATAGAAGCAGTATCTGAATATAGCATAAAATACTGTAAAGTGCATTTATTATACTGTAATGTTACTTGATTTAACAGAAACTTCATTGTTAAACTTTTCACTCAAATATTGAGCATTTCAAATACTGATTACCAAGTTTTCCTCATTTGTATTGAGAAAACTTTATTTACTGCTGCTAAATACTACCTGTGTTCTTTGAGAACCTGAATCTAAAAGTGTCACAACTTTTAACATACCCATTCTCATTTAGTATACAATGACAACGTTAACCTCTTCCAAGGTATGGTTTAGAAATACTGGATAAACTAAAATGTTTCTAGACTTGGATACTTTTGTCCAAGCAGTAAGCAAGCATAACCTATTACCACCTCTGCCTTCACTGTTAATTTTAATGTCTCGCACTGTACTGACAAAGAAAAAAAACTAAAGACAAGACATCTTGCTCCCTTTCTTTGGCAAGTCTCAAAGAAATCTGAATTCCCAGGAATCATGTGAACACAAGCAAGTTGAATGTTAAAAAAATACATGCACCAGAAAAAAACCAACCTGAAGAATGTGTTTATAAAAAGGCCTAACAATACTCTCAAAAGAGAGATATTGTTCTTATTTATACGTATCTCCAGTAGCATGACTAGCTGGAACACAATAATCCTAAACAACTTCTTGTCTTTTGTGCTAATTTTTCTTGTCTTCTGTGTTATTGATACGCCCTACTCTATCCTTGCTGCACAGCCCTGACCCATTATGTTATTTCCTAAAACCTGAATTTCTGCATTTCTGTCTCCCATCTGCAAAACGGTGAAAATAAGACTCCCATGCTTCTACAAAGACATTTTGAGTTCAAGCAACAGCTTTATATATATGCCCGTTAGTATTCCATATTTATGCAGTTACACTTGCAGAACAGAGGGACTGAGTAGAAACTAAACATCTGTTTCTTTCCAGTTCTGGATTTGCAAAAGCCTAACTTGATTTTATTGAGCTCAGCTTAAGTTTTTGTTGATTAATTTTGCCCAAAGGTTCTCTTATCTGAACCTTAGAAATCTGGCAGTTTTGATCTCATTTCTAAAATTATGTTTTGCCAGTTAATGCTAATTTAATAATAGGTTAAAACTGAAAATAAAATAATATACTTCTCTATATGTGCAGCATTTCTTTTAAATTGTGTACCTCACTCAGCTTTCTCCAGTGCAAGAAACTACACAACTTTGATTTCAAGTTCTCTTGCACCAATGTACCACAATCTACCCTGACAGAGAAAAAAAGCCTAAATACATCTCCACGTAAAATAGTATAGTCTTATTTTATTTTACCAAGGAAATTTTAAAAATCTGTTTCTTTCTTTTCAACATAGATTTCAGGGATACTGCTGAAATATTATCCTAAGAAGAAATAAAAAAAGGAAGGAAAAAAAGTAGCAGCATGATGATGAACATAAAAATAACAACAAAAGCTAACTCAAGGATATTTGACACTGTAAAGTAATGCATTCAGCACTGAAACTAGAGAAACTTCCCAGAATAAGAAATACTTTGGAGGAAGGAACGAACACTCAAGTTCTTAAACAAAGCATTACAAAGCATACATCGCCAGTTAGGACCACGGCCATACTATTTTAGATACTATATAAACACACACAAAGACAAAGGCCCTGCACTGAAATCTAAAAAAAGCCAGTAAACCCTGTCTTCAAGAAGTTCCAAACCAAACCATAATCATCAAAGAGAGAGGAAAGGCACCTGAGATGGGGTATATAAACTAAGTATTATTTTAAGCTTTGGCTACCTTTGATCGCAGAAACTCAGAGCTACAAAGGTAGATAGAGGGTGTCTAACAATAGTTAGAACAGTTTAATAAATGCCTTTTTCACCAGCAGCACAAATAAAAGCAACTTCTATCAGTTATTTTTAACCCTGCTCCAAAGCAGTTCACCACAATGAGCTCCAACAGCCCAGCTGAAGGGAGAGCCGTCACTGCTGCACCAGCAGGCATTCATCAAACGACTGCTTGAAAATCATTTCTGAAGAAGTTAGCAAGGATTATGAGAACAGAGAATGCAAAAAATTAAACCCATCAGGAACGATCTCATCCTTCCACTAGAAGTGCATTTTTTAAGATTTGTGTTCAGCCCCTCAGGAAACAGGTCCGTGTGAAATGCTGGAGGTGACAGATCGGTGAAATCTGCTTGAATTCTCTGATACAACACAGTCTTGGTGATAGGTGGGTGACTCCCCAGAACTGAAAGAAACAGAGCTACTACTCTCCATATAGAAAACCCTCTGATCTAAACAACTGTCTTAGTTACAGTCACGGAGCTAGAGAAGTGTGCTTTTATTTTCTGTTGTCTCCAGGG